GCTCCCCCTCCCCAGCCTTTTTCCTGACGGATCCGCCTCATCTTCACTTGCCGAAGGAAAATCAATTTTCAACAGGTTTAATTAAAATTAATCAGTCAAATTACTTAATATTAATTGACTTATAATTAAAGCCAGAAAGTTACCTTGGAATCAGGAGAAAGGATGTTCTCTCAAATCGGTTTAAGGATGCATATGGTTTCAGAGCAATTACATTAAAATAATGGTTTAAATAAAACAAAACAGAGCTTGATTAAAGTGTTGCTTTCTTGCTGCTGCAGGTGACACAGTCTGGACAAGCTATTTTCTTCTGCAAATTTGCTGACCTTTTTAAGGAATATCATTTCAGTTTGACACTGCTTTTGCTTTCTGGAAGGCCAGTTTGCTTTAGTTCTAACAACTGTGGCATTAAAAATCCACTAGTATAAAATGGAAATCTATCTTATAGAAGTTATAAATATCGAAGTGAATGTTTTTAGCACGTTTAGATGTTCTGTGAATTTGAAATGAAGCAGATTTTTTTTTTTCCAGCAGAAGTGTAAGAAATTGTTTTAGGAAATATTTTTTCCAGTACTGCCATCCACTGTGGCAGTATTTGCATTTATCCAGAGCCTTAGTGGGACCAGCCTGTACTGGTAAATTCAGAGAGAGAATTCATATCTGAAACCATGTATTTGTGACAATGCTTAAAACAACTTTTTCATGCTCCCTTAAGACCTAGGTTGTTTTTTTGGTTTGCTTGTTTTTTCCAGTAGTAGCATTTTTGATGCATCTAGACTATTGTTACTGGTGAAAGAGCAACACTGTGAGCTTTGGGACCTTTTCTCCTGCTTTTTTTCTGGGCTGACTTAATTGAAGCAAAGGATACCTATGGAATTGCACGTACTTTATTACAGGTACCTGACAAGTGAAAGACCCATGTATGATATAAATGAACGTTTAAAAACAGAGCCTGGGCCCTGATTTTCAAAGATACTGATTCCCATTGACTGCACTGAGACTTGTGTGGGCTCAACAGCTGTAACACACAGCCCACTTTTGCATCTTTGAAATTAGATTTGCAGATTGGGAGCCAGAAGCTAAGTAGTCATGTTTGGAAATACCGGTTGGGTGGGGTTTTTTTTCCCTCTTTCTCGCCCGCCCGCCCCCCCCAATTTCTGGTGCACGATGCAGGGTTAAAGAAGACTACTTCTTGGTTACTTTTGATAAATGACACTAGTTTTCTTAGACTACAGCTGCAGACTGCAGCAATGTTGCAAAAGCAGTTTTGCAGCGAATGATTAGGGCATCCTTAGATACATATGAAGAGATGCTGTTTATATTTCATGTGAATCATATGCAGACTGTGGGAAGAAAAATGAGGCTGAGGATAATCATACTAAGTGTGCTGGGAAGCAGGGTTTGGCTGAACACCTCTGTTTTGTGATTAGCTGAAGTAGCAACGAAAGCCATCAGAGAGTGTTCAGGCTGTTTAAGGCTGTAAGTTGTGTAGAAGCAAGGAGGAGAGCTGTCGTCCTGATACTGCTGTGGTTATCCTACCTCTTTTTCTACGGTGGGGTAAGAAGATAATATCCTAGCTGTTGATACTTAAACATCCTTAACAAAGTGGGTTTGCTCTGGATTATTTGGCTGGAGGTGGAGCAGTCTGCTGAGGAGGGTTATTTAAAGACTGGGACAGAGCTGTAGGCAGATAAATTGATTTGCAAGTGAATGGAGGATTTGAACATGGCAATGGTGGTAGTTTTATTTTTTTATCAGTTTGCATATTTAATATCCACTGGCATACACACAAGCATAAACCACTCTAATTGTTCAAATGGAGTCTGGGGAAAAGAGAAGAAAGCAGAAGCTTAGATATGGTCTCAGTTCGTAATGGATTGGCTTGCCTTTCTTTATTAAAAGCAAATATACATTCCTTTCTAATAGAGACGTGGAGCTGTATTACAGATCCTTGGCTAGCTTTGAATTATTTGTTTGATGTCATATTTATTATGTTTTTTTAATCACATGAAAAAGAAACTATTTAAAAATTAAATAGAGAAAAAGAAGGGCAAAAAGAGACAGACATTCTTTGAAAGCAAATAATGAAAAGACAACATTTTGTCAGAGATTCAATAGAAACCTTTGTGGATTTCCTTTAATAAAGGATAGGCAGTAATCAATCTGATCCAGTAAACAATATAATTTCCGATTAGTCCCAGGTATCCATCCGTGGTAAGGATAACAGGTAATGATAAAAAATAGATCCTGGCTGATGAATAAAGCCTGAATAAAAGCATATTTCCATTACTGTAGCCCTGTTTCTGAGCTCTCCATTATGAAGGAATGTATGCATTCAGAGGGGGATGCCTACCCTGCTACCCGGTCGTTGCAGAAGAGTTTGTATGGGAGGGAGGGAGTTAGGGGATGCAAAAAAACCCCAAGCTGATGGGGAAACTTCATCATGTATTGCATATTGAAAGCACATCCTGTAGTTTTAATGACAAATGTTGACATTACATTCCCCAGAATGACTATTGAATTATCACAATTACAAGGGGAAATTGTGTTGACTTCTTGGTGACTCAGCTCCACGTTTCTACCTGCCTCTGAAGACCCCACATGTGTTCCAACAGGCTTAGTTTTCATAATTATTAATTGCTGGTTAATGATGTGCTGCGTATTATCCAGGCGTAAAAAGTGACTAGTTGGCTACTTAGTACCACGGTCAAGTTTTTCTGCGCACCCAGTCTACTGTGCCACTTTTCACTAAAAACAGGAAGGTGACGTAAAGGGACGCCATCTGTGTGAAACCACAGGGCACCGTGTCTACTGTAAATATCCTTATGGTAATCAAGCCATGTAAAGGTCTGGGCTGCATACATCAGTGTAAAATGTTTTTTTCCACTGCTGTGGGCAAATAAAAGATGAGGCCATTAAAAGAGAAGCAATTGGAGTTCCCCTTCCCCCATTTGTTGAATTCTTCTGTTTTGTCCTTATAAAATTTTCTGCATAATCAGTTTTAGTGCTGCCTTTGGGTAGTCTGTTACTTTCCATTGATGCTTGGTTAGGTCTTCTGCACCATATTAAGGCAGAATGTAATGCTTGGAAATTAGCAACATGTGACTGTAAAATCATAAAAGTGATCAAGGACACTTCACAAATATTATATTTCAAGTGACTCATACTCCTTTAACCAAGCAGAGAACTTAAGTGGCAATTTAAAAATATGTTTTCTAAATTTCCTCAATCACATCCTGCCTAGAGATGCCATTAGCCCACTTGTTGAACTGGTTCTGGGAATTTAATGAGGGGAATACGTTTCTGTTGTATTTCATACTTTTCTTTAATTCCATCTTGTCTGAAGCTTTTAAGTTCAATACCTGAACTTAAAATCATTCTTCAACTTCTGCTTTTCCAACCCTGTTTCCAAAAAAGCACTTGAAAGCAGTAAAGTGTGATGTAGGCACATAGCATTAGAAATATTCATGAGGAGAAAAGGGCAACGTATTTAGAAGAAACCTTACTACATAGGTATACTGAATATTTTGACATCCTCAGACCTGTGTAAAACTGGCATTGTGGGATGGAGCTTTTGCTTCTTCAACTGGTTTCTCAAAGATGAGTTGTTTCTGTGGAGACTTGGGCCCTGAAATAGTTGCCACGAGACCCCACTGCTGGCTTAGGAAACACTTCTGTCGCCGGAGTCATGGTCAGCATGACCAGGACATGACCACAGGGAGACCTGAGACTAGTTGCTGTAACTTAAATAAGTATCTTTCTCACAGATAGTGGTAGAAAACGAAAACAGGACAAGGAGCTGAATAATAGGAGCTGCACATGAAGTCAGATGGAAAGAGTAAATCTTTGTAGACATTTAATGGCGTTATATTCTAAGCTTTTGGGAAATTTTATTTGAAATTTTTTTACAACAGTAAATATAGTCTGTGCTATATCCTATTTCTATTTCATGTGAGAGAAAAATTCCCCGTCTATGGCACAACACTTTACTGCTACCATTACTGCAGACTTTATAGATCAGAGATGTGTCAGCATGTTAGCTTTAGCTGTGATGCTTTTTTTGTGTGAAACCTTATGGGCCTTGCAGCCGCTTTCTCATACTGACACTCATAAAACGTTCAAGTTCTCATATTTATTATTTAATTTGCTTCCTATATAAAGCAACAGAGCTCTTCGATACATGAATGTGAAGCCAAAAATGACAGGCAGGCATGAATGGGACTAATGAGTTTTAATAATGCACACATTAGAAACTGCTAAAGGAAGTTTAATTAAGAAAAACAAGTTAAGCATGAAATTCATTTTGGAACAAATACAAGTAAAGTCACAGATGTACAGAATGCTGCATCACAGGAAATGGACTCTCAAGTTGATAGATCCCTATAATGCCAATATTGCACTCGAGATGTAGTGTGCACTCTACAGTTCTGGAAAGCATGGTAACACCATTCAAGAGCACTTTCAAAGTTGAGTTAGAGATGTCGGGTTTGTGATTAACGAATTATATTTATGCCTCTGTGGATTTTATGATGAGTTGGAATTTGATCCCAATTACCCTGATGGAATTGAGACCAGAATCTGATCAAGTAAGAAAGCATTTGCTCTTTTTTTTTTTGCCACAAGGAAGTTTGTGTTTTGTTTT